CTCCCGCCCCAGCATTTCCCCACAACCCGCCCGGGGGAGGCCAACAGCTTTGCACAATCAAGCAAATAAGATTTCCAAGGAAGCACTAAAGTGTGAAGCCGGAACGGCTCCAGAGACGTGCGCAACGTGCCGCCTCCGCTAAGAGCCAATATTTATTTTCTGAGACTTCCTCTACCCCAGAGTTGCCCGGGTTGGTTGGCTTTCCCAAGCGCGGCTCTCCCTGCACAAAGGACAGAAACCCGAGCCGTCCGGATGGTTCAAGTGGGGCTGTGAATAAGCAGGTGATGGCCCTTCAGCAGAAGACGCCCATAGGACCTGCTGCTCACGGGCAGGGCGAGGGCTGGGGTGACCGTGACCTCGGGTTCCCCATCTGAACAGAAGCTGCTGCTGCAGACAGTGAGGCTGTGCCTTGCATGTGAGGGACATTTCACGGAGGAGCCGGTAGAAAGCACAGCAAGAGCCTTGCTCTGCGCCTGCTGCTGCTTCCCCAGCACGTGGAGAAGCCCCATCCCACCCCAGCACTCCCAGGTCTTTCCCAGCCTCACAGTYTTGCCCACCCTTGAGCCTACTCACCCTGGCAAGTTCAGCGTCATCTTCGAGTACAGGTTGAGGAGGAGCTCGCCGCCTGGAACGACCTTCCACGACGCTCGGATGCTCTCCAGGTTCAGCACCTTCAACCTGGAGGTCAAAACCAAAGCAAGTCTTAAGACAGGGAGGGTCTGGCAGCCGAGCCATGAGTCAAGTTTGCAGCAAAGTGGGAAAGGGTCACCTCTGCTCCAACTAGGATTTACCACTGGTCTCTTAGAGAAGTGCTGGCTAAGTATCTGTTATCATTTACTAAACTTAGTTCTAAAATATTAGGACAGGCCTTCAGCTCATACCAGCTTTCCCTGTCTTGGGGAAGTGAGGGACTGGCTGAGGATTTGCAGCGAGCACCACGGCTGTGCTTCTGCCTTGACTTACCAGTCAAAGCCTTGTGTCGACATCTGAGGGACTCCACCACCCAGAAGTCCTCCTTCCCCCAGAAGACCATCAAGACCAAGCAGACTTCCATTGCCTAGGAGACCTCCTTGTCCGAGTAGACCTGTGCCAAGCAGACCTTTCTCCCCAAGAAGACCTTTATTGCCAAGAAGACCATTGCCAACGAGGCCGTCCCCACCAAGGAGCCCGGTGCCAAGTAGACCCTTCTCTCCAAGAAGACCTTTGCTATCAAGTAGGCCATTGCCGAGGAGACCATTACCAAGGACCCCGGTGCCGAGCAGACCGCTGTTGCTGGACTGTCCCCCTGCAATAGTCAGACTTCTGTTACCAAACTGGCTTTAACAGGCGAGAAGCCCCATGCACACTCACGCCAAGTAGACCTTCCTCACCGAGGAGGCCGGTGCCAAGGAGCCCAGCTCCGCTGGATGCGTTTTCTGCTGCCGGGAGGCCTTGGCTGCCTTTGCCCAGGAGGCCGGTCCCGAGCAGCCCTCCTTGGCCCAGGAGACCCGTGCCCAGCACTCCGCCTTTCCCGCCGAGCAGACCCTCGCTGCCGAGAACGCCGGTGCCCAGCACGCCTCCTGCACCACCAAAGTCTCCGTTACTAGCGGATCTGCTTTGCTGGGAAGCATTTCACTGATGAGTGTGATTTGGGTACGCTACGGAGACCTCCCCAGCACTGAGAGACGTTGCCTGGGGAGATTTGTCCATGGGTGTGGGAATATCTATTCCGGGTTCTTCCAGGGCATCTCCACCCGGAGGCCAAGGGTTTTGCCATCGGCTGTTGTGGGATGGCACCCAGGCACAGACACAAGGGGCTCAGCTCATCGCTGCTACTGGAGCGAGGAGCAAGGAACGAGGAGCAAGGAGTGAGGAACAAGGGGCAGGGAGTGAGGAACGAGGAGCAAGGAGGGAGCAGCAAGGAGCAAGGACCAAGGAACGAGGAGCAAGGACCAAGGAGCAAGGAGTGAGGAGGTGTGAGGAGTAAGGAGCAAGGAGTGAGGAGCACGCAGTGAGGAGCGAGGGGCAGCTCTCCGCCCCGTCTGCTCCACCACGAAGCACAGACCTTGGGACTCACCGGCCGCGTCCTGCGCTGGCCGCAGCCCCAGCGCGTCGCCCAGGCCGAGGAGCCCGTGTGCGGCGGGCAGCAGGGCGCAGAGCGCGGCGAGGCAGCAGCAGCAGCAGCAGCAGCAGCAGCCGCGCAGCATCTCCCCGGCGCCGCCCTGCCGAGAGCCGCGTCAGAGCCGGCAGCGGGTCCCCGGCGCGGGGCCGACCCCGAGCTGGCACCGCCGGCCACGGTGCCCTCGGGAGCGCGGTGCCAAAGCGCTGCCCCGCTCCACACCGTGCCCAGCACCGGGCGCTGCCGGGCTCAGCCTGCAGCCAAACCCAGGGGCGCTTGGCCRTGGCCCTGCTGTTTGTTCTGCTCGTTTTGCTCCATTCAGCTTAGCAAAGCAGCTCCCTCACCCTTTCTTTTTGCATATTTGATCTGCTCCTATTGAAAAGAAAAGACCCTCAAGGGCCTCACGTTCTCATGCCACTTGCTCCAGCTGGGGCTGCAGGCAACGTTTGGAGTGTTTGCTCAAGTCCACAAAAGTGCTTGCAAAGAGAGCAAAAAAGGTTCTATCCCCAAAGCCTAGGCTCAGTTCTAGCACAACACCTGCCTCCAGAGCCCGCGCTGCGGTCGGGGTGAGGCCGGCGCTGCCTCTGCAGGGAAAGGCAGCCCCCGATCTGCATATTGCAGAGTTGCAGCACTAGGAAATAATATTTAGGTCACATTGAACAACTTCTTTATCTGTTCCAGATACTTTTAAAAATCCCTTTATGACAGTTCTTGGCACAATTAAATTAGACTTTAATTCACTAGACTGTCTTTTACATTCTGCCTTTGATCAGCATGTAATGATGCACAGCTCCTGTAGCTGTGATTATTGAACAGGAGAGAGGGAAAGAGGCTTGAGCAGCTTCGATTGAAAATTGTGTCAAATAAAATCAGCAGGATTTGTTGGAGGGGCTCAGCGAGACGTGGGCAGCATTGTAAAAGGATGCCAAAATTGTTTTCAGGTCTTTTAAAGGAGCTCTTGGAGCGAGTACGTGACCAAGCAGACCAATATCTATGCAGCGGCTTGGCTAGCTCGGCCTGGACAGCTCAGCTCCTTGCCTGCTTGCACGAGTGCACGTGGAACATGCCCAGCGCACACGAGCGTGCCCAGTGGGGCAGTTAAACCCTCCCCTGCACCAGCTGGACGAGATCTGGCACAAGTGCAAAACTGCTCTGGATGCTGGGCACCAAGAGCTTGAAAAAGGCCTCTTCATTTCTCCTGGTTTAATCATTGCAATAAACTGAACAACAGCAAAACTGAACGTGGAACTTCACAAGCAAGAGCTCTCCCAGCTTTAAAAATTGATTTTCATAAATGATTAAATGCTACTGCAGGAATCAAAGGAAAACGGCATTAAAATTCGTGCTTCCCGGGTGCGGAGCCCACGTTGCGCGGGCCGGGCGCGGGGTGCGAGCGGGGTGCGCGCGGGGCCCCTCTTACCTGCTGCCTCGGCCGCGGTGCCGCCGTGGGCTCTGCGCGCGCCGTGGGCTCTTATAGCGGCTGCGGGAAGGAGGAAAGGGCGAGGCGGGCGCCAGCCTGGCCCCGCAGCCCCAGCCCGGCACGTGCCAAGCCCGGCCCCGCGCCCCCGGGCGTCCCGCACCGCCCTGGCTCCGCGCCCGCCCTGGGAAGCTTTTCACCCGTCCTGGCCCCGAACCGGGCTCYGGTCGTCTGCGAATCCCTGCCGGGAGCATGGATCCCCTCCGAGTGCCACTGGGAACCTGCACCCRCGGGGCTCCTGGATCTTGCATCCCTGGGAACCCCGGGATCCTCTCCAGGAGCAGCCTGTGCTTCCCTTGGGACCCCCTGGGAACCTGCAGCCCCGGGACGCTCAGCCCCGTGCGGAGGTGTCCGCGCTGCGCGGGGCTGCGGCTCTGCAACCTCCCGAACGTCCCCGGGGGCCAGGGCTGCGCTCCGGCTCCGGCGGCTGCTCCCACGGGGCAGATTGCTTGCTTGTTTTGGGGGTCGCTGTGCACAGCAGTGTTGGGCTGGGCGTTCCTGGGTGCGACAATGACACAGCCCCGGTCAGAGCCTGCCCGGAGCCCGAGGAAGGGTGAGCGCGGCCGTATCTGCCCCTGCAGCCCCGGGACAAGGCGGGACAGGGCCCCTTGCCCAGGACGTGCCCATCCCATGGACCCGGGGCAGAGCCACAGCAGCTGCCGGGAAGGSGGGATGTGGCCATGTCCCACTTGCGTGTCCTGTTCCCAGAGCCCTACCGTGGGGCGTGTGCCGATAAGGGCACTTTGCTGCTCTCAAATCCGAATCCTTCAGTCATTCCCCTCATGAAGCAGCTCGTGAAGGGCTTTTCAGGGCCAAGACAAACTCTGAGGTGTGGGAATTGCCCAGGGAAGACGCAGAGCATTTTCCGGCAGACCGTGACGAAGGAGTACCAGGTAAGGGAGCTGCAGCGGTGCAGCCTCACACGGGCACCGTCCCGGCATGCCCGTGTCACCCCGGAGCCCCGGCCTGCAGTGGCCTCCCGGGGCAGTGCCGGCACCGCGGCCGCCTGTGCTCCACCATGGGCCCGTCCCGCGGTGCTCCCGGTGCCGTGCAGGGTGCCGGGYGCTCGCTTCCCACCGCGGGCTGCAATCCCGCCCCGTTAGACCAGGCGCAGCCCCAGGAGCTAGCCAGGCCCGGCACGGAGCGCCCCTCTTCCCGGTGGGAAGGCGCCCCAGCCCTGCAGCGGGTGCAGGCGATCCGGCCGGCTGCGGCTCTCCCCCGGGATGGCTCTTCCCTCGCCCGCCCCCTCCCACCCGGGGCTGCGTCCCGCTCGGCCCAGCCCGGAGCAGCAGCTCGGAGGCACCGTGCGCCTGCGGGGGGGCTGCTTTTATTAGAGCCGGGCGCACGCCCGCCGTCCCGCGAGAGCCGCGGTGCAGCCCGCGCCACCGCTGCCGCTGCTGGGGCGCCGGGGCCCTGCTGGCTGCTCCGCTGCTCCCGAGGGGGTGTCCAACGCGGGRCTCCATCTCCGAGCCACATCCTGGCTCACGCCGACAACACGAGCAGGTCCTAGAGGGGCCAAGGGGCRTCCTTGTGTCCAGCTCCATCCACGTGTGCTTCCCACGGCAGCGGAGCACACAGCAGCCTGCCCGCCCGGGAGCTGAGGCGGGATGCTCGGGATGCTCCGGGGTACAGACCTGGCCRTCCCGACACTCACCTCAATGACGTCCACGTCGGCGTGGCTGAAGTCGATGTTGAGCAGCTTGGGGAGGGGAATGCCTCTTCCGAGCATGCCTGCGGGCAGAGCGCGCTGAGCGCGGCGCGCACGGACCCCCACGGCTGCTCGAGCCCTCTGCCCGTGGCCTCCCCTCCCGAAGCGGCTCCTCTGCTCCCAGCCCTGCCTCGCACAGAGCTCGGCTTCCCGCGGCCGCGGGGCTCCGGCAGAGCCAAGCAGCGCTTGCCCTGCGTGRGGAAGAGCCCCTTTCCCAGGGCCCGGCGGGGCAGCCTTACTGTTCATGATGGGCAGGAAGGCCACGTCGAAAATCTTCTGCACCAGCATGTCCAGGAGCGAGGTCTGCAGCAAGGAGACGGTCAGTGCCCGGCGCAGAGCTGCTCTGCTCGCGCCGTCTGCAGGACCTTCCTTCACCACCTAGTGCCCAACTTCCAGTGCAAACAGATGCCCCTGCAGAGCCCTCCCGCTTGTTTGTTTTGCATCAAGAACAGCAAATCAGGCAGTATAACCCGCTCCCCCAAACGGAGTGCAGATCACTCCCGCTCCGTCACTCTGCCCTGGGCATCCAGGGCGCAGGACCACAATGTGATCTCCCCTTTCCTGTTCCTACTTTTCACACACACGGATTTACAGAATGTTGCCTGCAAGTTGCYGGTGGATCTTCCATGGGATAAACACATCTCCAAAAAGAAAGTACCTGCTTCAAACACGACACCAAAGCTATACCCCAACCTGCCCTTATTTCTTCTGAACTGTTATCTATCAGCACTCTGCCCCCTGCGGTGGGTTTCACACATTGCTGAACCCGGCTGTGCTCTTACATCAAAGTTGCCAATGGATGAAGACACCAAGAAGAGCTCAGTCCTGCAGGGGAGAAAAGAAAAGGGCAGAAACTGGTAAAATGAAGGCAGTTCCTTTGATAGTTGATTGTATTTGCAGCAGCCTGGAATCATCCTTTGTGAAGGTCCCGCCGCAGGCATTAGAGCGTTTCTGTGCCCCGCGTGCCGGGCGAGGCCAGCGCAGCACCTACTTCTCCAGGGTGACGCTGATCCGCAGTCTGTTCTCCTCCACCGAGAAGCGGGCGAGCAGAGCAGCGTCCTGCGGCAGAGCGGCGGCCTCAGGGCTGCCCCGGCGCCGCTGCGCGCGGGCTCTGCCGCCGGCTCCGGAGCACGGCGGGAACCTCCCGGATACCCACAGCATTGAGGAGGCACAGCGACTTCTGCACGTCGTCGGGGTGCAGCACCATCACCTCCACCGCGGCCGTGAGMCGGATCACACCTTTGTTCTTCTTTAAGGTCACCGCCGGTGCTTTGGGCACGGCGATTTTCAGCAGCAGTTCGTGCGACTCGGGGTAAGCCTGGAAAACCTGCGGCACCCAGCGGGAGAGCAGGGGGTGGCAGGAGCCCGGGTGCCGCTGGTGCATGGACAAGCGAGCAAACAGGACGAGGACGAGCCGCCTGCGAGGGCAGCGCTGGGAGCCAGTGCCGCCGGGACAGCTCTGCTGCTGTCCAGCCCCGCTCTGAGCCGCGGGATTCAGGTGGCTTTGAGCCTGGAAAGCCTGGAGCCCGTGCAGGGAGCCCGGTTCTGGGAAGGGGAGCACAGGAGCCCCTCTCCGAGCGAGAYGCCCGGAGGCTGTTTGAGGCTCGGCTGTGACACTGGGGCTGTGCATGAGCCCAAGGTGACAAATTAGGCTCTGGGCTGCTGCAGCTCTCAGTTCCCGCCCTCCTTCCAAGCTCTTTTCACGGCCACAGAGGCCTCCAGGCAGGAGGCACCAGGAGGGCTCCCCGGCTCCGGGGGCTGTCTGGATCCGGCTCACTCACCGCCGGGATGAGGGCTCCGAGCGTCGATGTCGTCAGCGGCGGCAGCTCCGGAAACTGCGGCGGAGAAGCAGGGGACACCGCGCTGGGATGCAGCCCTTTGCAGCAGGATCCCCCTGCTCCGGGGCACGCAGGACCCCAGATAGCTGCTGAACGCTCCCGTGCTGCCAGAGCGCTCAGGGGACCCCCTTAACGCCTCCGAGCTCCAGAGCCAGCAGAGCCTCCCCTGCCCCATCCTGGGATTGCTCTCACCATCCCGCTGGAGATGTCCACRTCCAGGACCCCCTGCTTCTGCAGCATGGCCAGCACGGAGCTCAGGAAGCTCACGGAGAGGCCCAGCTGTGAGGAGCTGCTGTCCGGCATGGGTGGCAGCGGGGGCATGGGGACCCTTGGCGTGGGCGCAGCCTCCGGTGGGCCCAGGGGGTGGTCGACCAGGCCTCCTGCCACGCGCCCCACCACAGTCTGCAGCACCAGGGAGGAGAGTCCAAGCCCATAGAAACGCTGCAGGAGGCTGCAGCGATACTTGTGACACGTGCGCAGTGATACTCGTCTTTTCCTGCTCAACCTAAGCTCCGTCTGAGGTGCAATGGCCGCGGGTACAGCAGCCTGTCCGTCACCGCGACGCTTCCCGCTGCTGCAGCCCCAGGACGGAGCAGCCGCGGTGGGATTCCTGCCCAGCCACCCTTGGGGGCAGCCCCGAGCGCAGCCCCTCTCAAACACCCCAGAGAGAAGCTCGAGAACCAGGACTCACGTTCAAGTCCACCTCGAGGAACTGGCCGGTCACCAGTGGCAGGCTYGACACCGTGTACTGGATGCTGCCCAGCAAGCCCAGCGGCACCAGCGCTGGGTGCACAGAAGGAGGTAGGAGTGGCCCCGGCTGCCCCTGCCCACCCGCTCCTTTTCCCCTGGAAAAGCCCCTGGATGCCGCAGGGCCTGGGCATGGGTGGAGCGGGGGRATGCATGGGCAGGGACGAGGTGCAGGGCACCTACTTACAGTTCACCAGCTCCAGCTGGTCATTGACGAGGCCCAGGGCRACGTCGACTACAGGGCAGAGCTGCGGGAGGGTGTGAGTCGGCATCGGGGCAGACGGGACACAGGACAGCCCATTTGCACCCGGTATTCCCTGGGAAACGGGGCTCGCCGCCCTGCCTGCAACGCCCTGGCACAGCTGGGGCGATGGGGACGCGGAGGCTGGACCCGGCTCTGCTCGCAGGGCTGCACACGAAGGCGCCACCGACTTACCAGGCTGGGGAGAAGCCTGTTCAGGACGGTGGCCAGCAGGTTGTCCACAATGGGGAGCAGGCTGCGGAAAAACACAGGAACGGCGTGACAGAGGGAAAGGGAAAGGGAAAAGGAAAGGGAAAGGGAAAGGGAAAGGGAAAGGGAAAGGGAAAGGGAAAGGGAAAGGGAAAGGGAAAGGGAAAGGGAAA